GAATTTGGTTCATGTCACTTTTATCGTTATCTAGTAATCCGTTTTTAACTAGTTTAAAATAATTAAATCGTTCAAAATCCCTTCATTATACATTGAATACCTTAAAAATAGAAAAATAATGTTTCCAATCATGGGATCCCTACTTGTAATTCAAAAGATTGAATTTTTTTTTGCATAAAAAGATGCTACCATATAGGGCCTATAAGATGATATTACCAAATTGACATGGATAATTTAAATAAAATGGATATTTGCTAATCCGAATTTTTTCTACTTTTCTTAAATTTGTAGGACTTATTAGTTATTTATATGCTTCCTATATTTAACTTTTTCCAATTTTCACATATAGTAAAGTTGTCACATAAAGGTACAAAATGATACAAAAACTAAAAGTTTTGAGCGTTTACTAAGAGAGAAAAAACACTTTTTACGGATTTTTGGCTCAAATCTGTACTTAGATTTGAAGCATTTAAAAGCCAAACATAGTTCTAGTATGTGACAGAAATACTTTCAAAACTATTGCATGGGATGAAAGAAGCAACCAATCCTATTTGACACCAACTTATGTCTTTGAAATCTTTTATGTTCTGTAAATTACGGAAGGAATTGGCAGTATCCCTGGCAAGAGTTAGTGACACTAAGGCGACCGTCGAATTTGCGATTTTTTTTATTTTAACCAAGACTATAGATATCCTTTTATTATAAACTTGCTTGTCGATATTCTGCATTGTTTAAGATATTGGCTGTACATAGCCCTTTCGTATCGAATTAACTGGGAGACACAAACTTCAAACGCAGATGAACATAGTATATTAATGCTTACATACATGTAGATACATGTAAGTAGAGTTGACAACTTAACAATCTTTGAGAAAATTTTAATTTTTATGCGCCCGGATCGAAAGATCCGAGGAGTATATTGTTTTTGTCCCGTCTGTCTTTCTGTTTGTCTGTTTATCGGTTTGTCTGTTTGTCTACAAACTTTAACCTTTGCCATAACTTTTGAACCATGAAAGAGAGAGACTTCATATTTGATATGCATACTCCACTAATTAAGCTCTTTCGTTTAACATCAAGGTCAATGACCTTGTGACCTTGACATAAAAGGTAGAGACTTCATATTTGGTATGCACACACCACTGAATAAGCTCAATGACCTTGTGACCTTGACTGTGACATATACGCTAAATATAGCTTTTTTGTCAGCAAACTTTAACCTTCGCCATAACTTTTGAACGAAGAAAGATAGAGGCTTAATATTTGGCATGCATACTCCACTAATTAAGTCCTTTCACATGATACCAAGATCAATGACCTTGTGACCTTGACTATGTTGTATATGCTAAAAATGGCTTTTTTGAACCTTCGCCATAACTTTTGAACCATGAGAGATAGAAACTTCATATTTGGTATGCATACTTCACTAATCAAGTTCTTTCAAATGACAATAAGATCAATGACCTTGTGACCTTGACTGTGACCTATAAGCTAAAAATATGGGGGGTTTTAAAACTTTGTTGCCGCCGGGCGCATAGTGTTTCACAAACACACCTTGTTTTTAAATTAAAAATCAGGTTTATAAAAATATATTAATTTGTACAGTTTATATCACCGTTTCTCAGAATAATTAGCTTTTAACAATGCATCTTAAATGAAAAGTGAAAATCGAAAATTTTCACCTCAGACTGGTGTCCATTTACAGCATTACTTTGTTTATAATCATAAAATTATGCACACAACTTTAACTTTGATAATAAAAATGTTTCAGGTCTGAATGGACAATTTCAATACACTCGTTGAAGACCTAACCTTCAAAGATTCTGATGATATTCCCAAGATCACAACTTATGTTCTTTCATTATCCCTAACAATGGTTTTTATATATAAAGGAGACCTCGTATTAGTATTTTTATTCTATACGAAAGGGAGCAGATCGATGCGTTGATTAATGAGATGATAAATTATTCTTTATCACACAGAAGATGCGTGTACTCGTTTGAAAGACACTGTACGGGAATCTGGCGAATGGATAGGGTACCACACTACCAGCTTTTTATAATTTTTATAAGACACAAAAAAATGCAAATATACTGGTACATACATTCTTAGTCTGTCATCCTATATTTCAATATCTAATTCTAATACTATCTTTCGCCTATGTAAAGGTTTAGAGATCAGCCCTGCACGGAAAATAAAAAAGAGTAGCCGAAGTATTTTTATGTACTAGGACAAGGCCAAAAACTTATCTATATTTGATAAGCCTTTTGTATCTAAAAAAATTCTCAGAAGCTGAAGGGGGTGGGAGTCCGTCAGAATCCTGTGGAAATTACCAGTATAAACATATAAGAAATAATGATGAATATTTTTTTTCGTAGTTAAAGACATGATTCAATTTCGTGCAAAACTTATTCAATGCGAGTAATTTATTTTTTTTTTCCACAGGTATCTCCATTTATCGAAGGAATTCTTCAAGATGGATAATAAGCTATCACTGGGTTACAATGTAGAAGGGAGAATAGAAAGATCCCCACTTGGAGTCATATCTTACATTCTCAACATCATAGGAATCATTGGCAATGCTGTGGTTATACATATCTTTCGAACACGTACTGGCCCTTCCTCAAATTACAGAATCTTTGTTCTCTTTCTTTCTGTTGTCGATCTTTCTCTATGTATTTCTCACATTGCTAAAGAACTTAGCAGAATGATATCGGTCTACCATGAGGTGACCGGGACTAATCTGACATGTAAGATTTCTAACTATATTGGTAATTCTGTGGGGATGGCTTCTCTTCTGATTGTAGTTTTCATTGGTTTCGAAAGATACAGAAAAATCTGCACTCCTTTCAAATCTCAGATAACTACGACACACTCAAAAATAATGTGCTTGAGTGTGATTTGCATTGGTTTTGTCTTACAATTCCCAATTTATCTGTTTCACGGAAAAAGATATGTACAAGTAGAAAACATTAATGCTACTCGATGCAGCATAGAAAACAAATATGATGAGAGCCTTTTAACGCTCATCTATTATAATTTCGTATTCTTGGCTGCGATCACGGGTGTTATACTTGTAGTAGTATTTCAAGTAAACATACGAAACGCTCTTGTTGAGAAATCTAAAACAAAAAGACGAATGAAAGCAAGAGCTGAAAAACAAAGCTCTGGTGAAGATCAGACAGAATGCAGCAATAGAAAAGTGGATGGAAAGAAAACTAATCAAACATTGTCAAATACATCAGCAGCAGACCAAGAGGCAGAAAAGAACAAACGAATAGCGATAACGTTTGCCTTTGTAACTGTTTTCTTGGTTGCCAGCTTCATAACAATTACTTTGTTTCAGACTATCCGAACTACTCAAAACTATTTCTTTCCACGAGAAAAAATTTCTAAAATAGAAGACATTGTTGACAGTTACATGCCAGATATCGTAGTCATTAATGGGATTTTGAATCCATTTGTTTACTTTTTTACCGATGCTCAGTTCAAGACAGAAGTAATGAAACTATGTGGTAGAGTCTAAAGATGTAAAGAGGTCAAGAGGTCATCAATTTCCTCTTCATGATAAATCTCTTTTTTTTCATGAATGAAATTATGCGGAAACTGTAATAAGTTGATAAATGTAAAAAAAAAAAAAAAATTAATTTAAAAAAAAAGAACGATATTTTTATCAGTTATCTTTCGACCATCACTGCATACCTAATTCTCCTTCTGATTTTTTTTTTTACCGGAAATTTAGTTTGTAATTTAATGTAATTTAAAAAATAAAATTATGATTTAAAAAAGTCCAAACCACTGTAAGCTAACAAAAATGATGAATCGATACATGGGAATGCTTGTTATTTGCTTCTTTTTAATGACAACCAGGCGTCGTTACCCGATGTGTGCTTTATGATTTATGCATTTCCTCAAAAGTACATGTATACCAATTAGTGGTTTTGATTTGTAGCCACCGTTTATTTGAAATGATTTAATATAAAAAAAAGTCTTTGAAATCATTGTTGTTTCCATACTTACGATGTCTTAAGTTTTAGTGTTTTGTCGTTGGTTTTTATTTATTGGTGGTCTTTGTGATGAGAAACCAGATTACTTGTGTTCGGTCTGAAATTCACGAGGAACAGAAGAGACCCTGTGAAATAAATACTGATCTTGTTGAGCAAGAAAAGATGGATTTCGAACATAACAAATTGTGACAACTAAAGCACCAGCGAAAAGAACAGTGATATTTTATGTAACTTTTTGAAACATATTAATCATGTTTATATACTGAGTATTTCTTGTACAAAATGTCAATTTTCATGTTTTATTATTTTCCATCAAATGTAAAAATCACAAAGAAAGTTTACACAATCCTAAAAATATCTATCTATTGTTCTTACTATTTGTGTAAAAAAAGGTATTAGTATTAAGGTAGTCCGATCCCCAGGTTAATAAAATTAGCAGTTAAGTAATCAAAAATACTCATAAAAGTATCTCTGAATCCACAAATTTATGTAAATTCATCCACAGTATTTCTTTAAAGTTAATGATTAAAGTTAATCACAAAATTGTCAGATCTCCAATATTTTTGCAGAAAAAGCGAATTTGAATATGAGCAATGCATTTTCTAATTGCAAATGATCAACAAATATATTTTAGGTTAAAAAAGGATAGGTATCCAGGCATTCAGAGAAATTATCATGAGTTTTATACTAATTTGGTGTTTTTTATCTGTTATGTCCGTCAGGTATTCTATGATACATAGTGTTAAAGGCTTTTGATAGCATTGCAAGACACCACAAATCACTTCTCTTTTCCTATCATGCTTATAAGCATTGGAATCTATGGCTGGATTCAAGAAAATCTTGTTTCTATAAAGCTGTATTAATTTTTTCTCCTTTTATAGGCTACAAATGTAAACTTTTATAGGACCTTTTCTAAGACTTCCAAAGACCTTGAATCTTATGAAAATGAATAAAATGAAAATTGTTGCATGAAAAAATTTCATTTTTAAGCTTCATTTTGATGCATTTCAAATTAAATATTAATTTTTGGAGTGGTCCTTCCTGGCTGAGGATCGGATATCCTTAATAGATTGATTATTGCGAATAAAGAATATAAATAAAAATTATATTTCGTTTTATTTTGAAAGAATTATGTTGCAATTTCACCAATATTAAATGAAAATATTGGCAGATATATAGAATATGTCATATAGAGGTGCTTAAAGACGATAAAGCTCAAAGGCAAATGTTGTTCCCTATAAAACAAAACTGAACAAGAAAATCTTGATTTTATGGAAACAATAGGGCCTTTCTAAATGTTCTCATTTAATATCAACAGTCTCGTTTAAAGTCATCATTTCGTAAATTCTATGGTCGATACAATGACCTTGTCAGCAAATACAATTTATCATTGAATGAAATGCTGACTGACGTTTTTCATACCAATTGTTAGTCCATTATTTATACACTGAATTGACCACGGATTTTTTCCGTTATTTCCTGATTATGACAACGAGCACACGGCGGGTGTGACCGGTCGGCAGGGGATGCTCACTCCTCCATGGCACCTGATCCCACCTCTGATGTTTCGGAGGTCTGTGTTTGCTCTGCTCTTAATTTGTATATTTGTTTAATGGACGTTGAGATTGAATACTGTTCGTTATTTCCATATCCTCCTTTCTTAAATGGACATAATAAAAGAAATGAGAGATTATGATGGAAATGAAAACTAGAGAGAACTATGATAGGGTTATAATTATCGAAATAAAGAGTAAAGCGACAAGAGACATATATTTGTAAAAGTTTTCTATTATTACCGATTCTAAGTTTTGAGTAATTTAGACAGGCCAACAATGGGTTTAACTTTGAACAAGGAAACATGAAGTGAAAATCATCTTAATCATCATAAAAACTTATGTGAACAACAGGCCATAATATGTTTGATTACTTTGCAAGCATATCAATTAAAATTGCAAATTTAGATAGTATCATCACGATAAGCGATTTACGACTCGTGCAAAATATTCAGAATTTAAACAGAAATATCTCGGTGTACCCGTAGACAATGAAGAAAAAAGAAATTAAAAAAAGAAATACAACAAAACAAAGTAAACAACATCAGATAAATGTAGGAAGATGGTTCAAAATGATATACATGTTTAATACATGTTTAGGTTTTTTTTTTCAGCTGAACCATACGAGGTCTGTCCAATAAATAATGTCCTGAGCTCTATGACATATGAAATAGAAATCATATGACATTAAGATGGACTTTCTCTTATGATTGAATCTTTAATGAATTGATCACAGTTTATGTGACCCCTTTTCACCAAATAGGTTAATTGTAAGAGGCTGGAAAACAAGGGTTATTCGAGACACTGCATTATAAATGAACGGTAAAGAATCTGTAAACTTGAGTGAAAATAAACACTTTATAAAAGCTGCTGTTAAACTCGTTAGGATTCCCAAAGAGATATTTACTGAAATATGTGAAGTTTGCAGCAACAAATGTTGTAGGTTTATAGACACATGAGCAGGTTGATTTCAACTAACAAAATTGATATATTGGGAATCAAAAAATGAGTAAAGTCCTTGGCGACAAAGACTTACAACAACCAAAGCACTGTTTGCCAAAATTCAACAAATATTACTGAAGATGTTTGACAGCCTTTAAGAAACATAGCAAAAGTGATAGGCATAATTTTGGGGGTAGTTTATACTGGTTCAAAGAAGTATTTGTCAGTAAAATAGCTTGAAAATCAATGGTCATCTTGTGTATTGAAAAATGACTGAAAATGACAGCGTGCAAGAATATCTTAACAATTATTTTATAAGAAATAAAAAACTGTAGTTATCCACGTTTGTTTCGAATTCAAACAGATAGTGAAACTTAAATCCACTGCTTTAGACCCTCAAAACAAATTTACAGTAAGATGCACTTGACAAAAACAGTCAAGGCCTGAGAAGAGCAAAGAACTGCAAAAGCAGAAAAATGGTTTTATATGCCATTTTCTTAAAAATCAGTGGTCTTGTTGTTCAAATTCTTATTCGGGAAGGCAGTTCAATTTCTGCCAAAAATCGAAAGGTTTAAATTTATGAGAGGATAGAAACAGAATTAGGAATCCACTATATAATATTTCTTCTTTACAGCGTCCAAACCAACACACCAGAAAGACTAAAGGAGTTTTTGGGAATAAACAGGAAGTTAATGTTTTGTCACACCAACAATATTCGCCAGATCCTTCATCCTTTGACTTGTTTCAATTTCCAAACTTGAAAAAAAACCTTTCAGAAAGAAGAAACGAGTCAAGGAAATCACAGGATCTGCCTTATTCCAGTATACGAAGGACCGTACTAAAAATGTGCCCTAAAAACAATCAGAAATTTGATAAAAATGTTACGAACACGTGTTTTAATTGAAAGAGAATAATTAAGTGAAACCATTAAGGGTAAATAATTTAAAAGCGTTCTTTGGTTTCTTTCCGAGAACCGAGGACATAATTTATTTAACAGCCCTCGTAACTCAATATTATGATAATTTCAGAACTAGTAAAATAATTTGCAAACGTTCTCTTTTCCTGTTTCATTGCGCCCCGTTATTAGCAGACCTATTTTTGTTTCCTTTGATGCAGAATCTATCTAAAATCTAACCTTGAAAAAAATAGAAAACACTTGCTGTGACTTTTAACACGACAGTTTGATATATCGATGACCTATTGTCATCCCTCTGCTCCAAATTTCACGATCTTTAAAAAAAAAAATCCAAATATTGATTTTCATCAACAACTATAGCATTAATTAAATTTATATGGAAAATAGTTTGAAGTATAAGCGTTGCTTACTTTTTCAGAAATGAATGATATGTCAAATCATGATGTGAAGAAAATTTGATATGGTAAAGAGAAAGCTCATTTTTTCTCACAATAAAAGTAGAAATATGAGGTATATATAGAAATAATATTTACTCTCAAACCTATCAAATTCTCGTTAGAAAACATACTGAAGCGTCGCTTTTTAAATCAGAATATCAAATTGTTTTCTGTGTTTGTAAAATAATACGCATCAATCAACAAGAGTTATCTTTCAATTATCGCCCTTGAAAATATTTTTTTAGTGAAACAAAATATTAATTAAATGTTTATAAACAGTTCTGTATCTGAAATTTCTGCAACAATTAAATGACCATAAAAAGGACCTTGTTAATGAAATCTACTAAATCTGACATGACAGTCCATTGAATTTCATGGGAAATGTATTCTTAGCAGAGGGATATTGCCTCTTAACAACGGTTACATGTATTCCTATTCTAGTGACGATGCGATATATCGCAGGGAGCTTGAAATAAAATATACCACAGAGTCTGACACTTATTTCGTATTTGGATATTTTTACTAAAAAGTTTACTATCCAACGACATTTGCTTGATTTGATACGCAAGGGCATGTTCCAAGTTTGAACAATTTCTAAAACGAGGTTAGTTATTGACAAACAAAGCGACAAAACAAGAATATTATCAGTTGTGTTTAAAATCTTCATTTCG